AAACAGAAACATTAATAATGAGGGGGGAGAGGAAAGAATAATCAGGAGGGCAGTAGATTGCCATTGACATTGCATTTAAGTTTTGGCAGATTAAAGTTGGCTGACAAGCATGGAGCCGGAAGGAGGATCCACAAGAGAGAAGTGCGAGAAAAACTGTTAGCATAGAACTTACGGCTACATATAGCCAGCTCAAATGTAAATTGATGAGATCTCAACGCCAGTCTAGTACTGCGTTAAAATTCAAAAAGTCTAGGTACCATAGCGAAGAGTTCCTCCGAACAATTACCATCAAAGTATTTATAGAAAAGACACAAAGAGGCACCTTACGGCGGTGAGAAAGTGACTGAAGCAGAGCCGCCGATCAGGACCAATAATATTGCTTATTCTTTTTTGGATCTTATCAAGAAGCTCAAGATAAATAGTCTTACTAATTAACCTATAACTGGGGAGAGAAGAGGTCGATTCATATCTTTCTCAAGAGTATTTGCGCATAAGTGAATATGAAGATCCTAACTTGAATTAGAACTCGGCTCTCCGATTAACAATTCCGAGTCATTATCCATTGCACCACCTGCACATCCAAGCTTACAGCACCTAGTATTTTGAAGCGGTCACCCATTTAGATAATAACCAGGTTTGACGTTGCTTAACTTCGGTGATCGTACGGGAGATCGTAGCGAGAAATTATTGTTGGGAAGGCGTCATACATGGAAATACTAACTCTTGAGTTACAGAACGTGTGATTGAGTCTCATTTCAGGCTGTTTCTTTATTCAGAGGTCCTGCTGTACATTTTTAACAGTCGAAGAATGCACAGAATAAAGCATTGTGATAAAATAAAACAAAACGAGGGAATTTGTCTGAAACTATTGATAAAAGGCAAAAAGAAATTAATTTTACCTTGCTTGAAGCGCCCCCTATCTAATCTAAAAGACGGACAAAACCACTTCCAATTCAATTATCGTACTGCTTATTTTTTAATTACCTTTGACTTTATTTTTATGCAAACGTTGAAGAATGTATTTAGGTTCACTTCAGCGTAACTTTCGCAGCGAAAAGAAAAGTCGCGAAATTTAAATTAAAAGCAATGAAGCGGGGAGTGGATACAGAGGAGAGAAAAAAAACCCCACTAAAACAAGATTTGGTTATCACTCGTCATTCAGGTTTTACTGAATTGCTTTTGCGCGGGTTTTTCCTTAACTTTTGAGTTAAAGAGGATTTTTTAAAAAGTAATTATTGATCAGAATATTGCAAATTCACTATTTCTTTTGATGTTTCGGCGCAGAAAAGGAATATTAATCGACTTTTTTTTATCTATTTCCCTGATTGATTTGTTACTTCTTTTTTTTTCATCTGGAATATATAGATCCAATTCCAAAAGCCAAAAATTTGTTACCAGGAGCAATGATAAAACGTCACGAAATCATCAAAAGAAATGTATCTTCCAATCTTAAAGGCTATTTTAGAGATTCCGAATGCCACAATTAATTCAGATCTCCAAAAATTCACGATCACATCCATCAGTATCGCTCTCTCTGTCATAATACCAGCGTATGTTGAATATACTGGAATATTTATTACTTTTGTGGCGATGGTGGAAATATATAAGCTGCATATGGGATGTCTTGTTTCTTTTTTTTTTTCTGAGGAATTGGAAAGAACTATTAAAAAATGAGGGAAGAAAATGTGATTGTTTCCCAGTGGCTAGTGATTAGGTGTTAGAAACTACGTAAAACAGAATGGTAACAGTAACGAAGGAAACAAAGAAACCAGATCGAAATCGTCACGCGATAAAGATCGCGTTGGTGAAGTGGATCTGGTTTCTTTATGTTTCGTTGGTCAGTATTACTGTTCTGTCTTAGTCTATTTGCTAGAGGCATTGAGCACTTTGCATTATTGGCTAGGTAGGTGGCTGTCATTATCCTTTCTGTTTCCTTTGTCTTCAGTTTTCGCCTTTCTTTGTTCTTGCTTTATTTTTTTTCTTTTCTTGTGTTGGTAGAGTTGTATTAGACACTTTACCAATAATATGATTTGTGATTTGTTCTCTTTCTGTCTGTCAGTTTCTCTCTCTCTCTTTCTCTCTCTCTCTCTCCTATACCTATATATATATATATATATATATATATATATATATATATATATTAGCATAAAATGTGTGCAATAACATCGTTTACACTACAAGGGTAAAAGTATTTTTTAAAAGAGTATTCAATATCGTAGATAGAGCGTTTACACACACACACACACACACACACATATATATATATATATATATATATATATATATATATATATATATACATTCGGCACTGAATATTCTCAAAGCGTCGCACTTCCGAAAATCTGAACAAATTTGATATTTGTTTGGGGAGTGCTCCTTGAGTAGGTCGTAGATCTTTCAGTATATATATATATATATATATATATATATATATATATATATATATATATATGATAGGATAAAGAACAAGTAGGAAACACATTTCAATCTAACATGTTTCACTTTATTAAAACTCCGTCAGAGATCAAGATAGAAATGATGACAAATGATAAAAAGCAAAGTGACGCAGATTAATGTTTGGTTAGTTCTTATTGGTTAAATACGTGTCACATGTAATGAAGTAACATAATATTCAAATATACGTGAGAAACATTCTGGATGATAATGTGTTTAATAGTGAGACTCAGTAGCTTCTGACATAAAATTAACTGTTTTATTCTCTTTGGTTTGGTTTGTTCTGTTTTACGGCATATTTTATGGCATATCAACCTCAATGTTTTATTTAATGCTGACAACATTTTTATTGCTGCTAATATTTTTTTTTCCAAAAATATGTTACTGGTAATATATTTCTGGCATTATTTCTTTCTTCAAAAATCTATTTCTGGTAATATTTTTTCAAAAAAATATATTTTTATTATTTTTTTAAATGTATTGCTGGTAATATTTTTTTTAAGAATTTGCTGGTAATAATTTTTTCCTTCAAAAATTTATTGCTGGTAATAATTTTTACAAAGTATTTCTGCTATTAAAACCTATTTTTACACATTCATAATATTTTGACCCCAGTTTGGGGGTTAACTATTAGCCGGGACCCTAACAGGTGCTACTACCCCGGGTCAAGTTGGACCTGGGAACACCAGCTATTAAGAGGTGGTTCCATGCTCCTCAAAACCTCCTGATCAAAGGCCTTGCTGTCGGACGTAGTTTATCGTCTTACTAAGGATACGGATGTAGTATATCGTCATACCCTGGACGTATTGTCTTTGGAGTATTTTAAACTTTTTATCTAAAGTTCTTTTCAGGTGTTACAGAATTTATAGCTGATATAATGACCTACATTTTATTTTTTTTCTCCCTTTCTCTATCTTTTCTTTTTTGCTATATATAAAATTAATAGAATAATTTGGGAGTTAGGATCGTGCAATTGTTATCGACGCAGAAAGTAAAGTAAGCAAGCCGAGTTCAAATTCTAGCTGATTCTGTTTCGTTCATTTTGGGGTAATGCCCTTCAGTCAGTCTGTTATGTGCCATGCGTGATACAAGCTTAGGCGATCATGTATCTTTCGATACATGACTGACGAACCAGATTTTTTCCCCGCAGTAGGTTACCATTTCTTTCTGCGGTAGACCAGTTGCTATCCAAGGCTATAAAACCCAGTCTGTCCTGCTATTTACCCATGGCTGGGGGAAGAGGAAGAGGATCCACACCTTTCCCAAGGGTATTAGCATGTAAGTGAATGTAATGGATTCGACTGGAAAGTCAGTAAGTTATTTGTCATGTATGATAAACGCTTAGGCGATCATGTATCTTTCGATACATGACTGACGAAGCAGATTTGTTTCCTGCAGTAGGTTGCCATTTCTTTCTGCGGTAGACAAGTTTCCATCCAAGGTTATAGAATCAGGCCTGTCCTGCTATTTAACCAGACCTGGGGGAGAAGAAATGGATTCATACTTTTCCCAAGGGTATTAGCACGTAAGTGAACGTAATGGATTTGACTGGAAATCGAACTCGGTATCTTCGATTCCTAAATCCGAGCCGCTATCCATACGTTGTTTATATGTGCGGCAAAAATAATTTTAAAATAGTTCCAAAAAAATAGGATGAGGAAAGAGGTAGCCTGGGGATGTGACTGTAGGAGATGAAATAATAGTAATGATGACCTCTTAATCACTGGTCAAGAGGAGGGAGATGAATTTTTTCAAGAGGGGAACAAAGAAAAAGAAAGGTAAGAGGAGAAATGAAGTGTGGACTGGAGAACATACACAATTCCATATATCTACATACATCAGTTATGTGCCATATGGGATACACGCTTAGGCGATCATGTGTCTTTCGATACATGACTGACGAGGCAGATTTCTTTTCCCTTTCAGTAGGTTGCTATTTCTTTCTGCGGTAGACCAGTTGTCTTCTAAGGCTATAGAACCCGATCTTTCCTGCTATTTACCCAGAGCTGGGGGCGGGGGAAGAAGAGGATTCATAACTTTCCCAAGGGTATTAGCACGTAAGTGAATGTAATGAATTCCACTGGAATTCGAACTCGGCACTCCGATTCCTAGCCGCTATTCATGACTCCACCGTGCCTCGCTTATGCCCTTAGCAAACATAAATCAATCTCCCCTTCATAGTACTGTACTGTACTGTACTGATGCGGCATTCACCCTGGGCGGATTGAGCCGGCTTCTTCCTGTTATGAGAAGAAGATTCTTGGGATAAATTACAGAAGTAGGGTACCCAGGACTACTCGGATAACGTTCTTGCTTGCCGCGGGGTTCCCACAGACGCAGAGACGCAGAGACAGGAACGACCAGAAGCCGCCGGTTACCGATGCAGACGCTCCTTGGATTTTCACCAGAGCCCTTGTTAGCCGGCGTGTGTGTCAGACCTGTCCGCCTTTGGTGGCCCTACCAGGAACGAAGTTCCGGGCGGCATAGCTCTGACACTACCGTTTACACCCCCCACCGACTGTGAGGTAAGGGGTTGGACTTTGGGGCTTACAGTACCAGGTGTTCCCAAGCGGTCCCCATCTAAGTACTGACCTGGCTCTACGATGCTTAACTTCGGTGATCGAACGAGAACCGGTGTTTCAGCGTGATTTGACCGTGATTTGACCTTCATAGTAGTTAAATAACAAACCTTTTAAAGCCTTAGGTGGCAGCCAGTCATAGAGAAGCAAAATCTGCCACTTCAGTTCATTCCACTGATGTAGAGTCTTTAGTTTTCACTGTCTGGCACTGGGATCGATCTCACCATGCTTGACTACTAGGTTATATAAACTATTCACAACCAACCGTCACTCTATCTTGTTCTAAATGTGATGCAGCTGTAGTATATGTGCTCCTCCTACAACGATAATAATTCAAAGATTCGTGACGTTATGTGGGTAGGATAGTGGAGAATTTTAAAACTATTTTCAATGTAATTTTCTTCTTCGAGGCTATAAATTCTAATGGTTCGTAAATAATAACCTATAAGTTTTCCACATATGTTCATACTGCTGGGAAATAAAGATTTTAAATGGCCTCATGCTATTTTTAAATAAAAAGGCCATTTTTACTATCAGTAGTACTGATATCTTAAATTGAATTTTATTAGTTTACAAATGGTTGTAGAATGACGGTCTGCGTAAAAGTAATTAAAAGTAACTAGAGATTAAATTAATATTATTGTTTGCTGATTTATTCGAACTTGCGGCGCCATCTTGATTGATATAGTGAAAACCGCATTTCTTAGTTGGCTGTCTGTATTCGGTTACATTCTAGGAATTTCTGACCGAACATCTCTGAGAATGCACTCATGTTGGTGAAGAATTTTTTTATTCTGCTAATTTGTTCTCGTGATGCCATTTCAGTTCATTCCACTGATGTAGAGTCTATAGATTTCACTGTCTGGCACTGGGATCGATCTCACCATGCTTGACTACTAGGTTATTTTCATAATAAACGTAATAATAAAAGTTCAATAACAAACAATAAAAGTCCAAGATAATATTTCAATTTTACATTATGACTATTGTCCTTATCTTTGTCCTGATCTGTTCATGGCAACGTTTCGGTCGTTATACCCGCCGACCTTCTTCAGGTTTTTGTCGATTCAGATAGCTCTAAAGAAATTTCGAACTTAACCCTTTATTTAATCTATAGAGTAGATAGTTCTTGTGCTGATAATTTCTAGTGATATCTTGTCGTATCTTTATTTATTACTGTTCAGTTATGTCTTGACTTGTGCCCATTAATTCTGTGTGTGTATTATCTAACCAGGAATTGAACTATGTCACCAAATTCAAGAATTATACCAAACGGATAAAAAAAACATACTTCTACCACTTTACAATAGCTATTAACTACTAATATTATCATTACCACCAACACCCAACACCATTACTACCACATCACATCTACTATTAACATATAAATCCACTATAATTATATTTATATACCACCAAATAAAGACCAATAAGATCAGAGATAATGTCCAAATGTAGGCATGAGAATAAATAGCTATTACCAGGATTTATACCCAAATAAATAAATAAATATAGAAAATAAAATAAAATAAAACACCAACAATAACTCTTTAGTTCAAGCTAGCATCACAATAATTACATTTATTATTATTTTTATTATTCTCCCACCACCATTACTAATCACTACTACCAACTTACAATAACTATTAGCCACTTATATTATCATTGACACCAACCCCCTTACACATTACTATCACATCACATCTACTATTATCATATAAACTCGTCATAATTATTAACGTAAACTACCCCCTCCCCAAATAGGGATTACAAACTGAAATTTCTACCAGTCACATATACACAGTCATCAAAAAAAATAAAAAAAACAAGCAAATAAACAGCTTTAAAATAATAACAATTTTTTTTAAAATAAAAAATAAAAATTATAGCAATTTTCAACTATCATAATTTTACATAGAATACCCATTATCAGGATTTATACCAAAATAAATTAATACATATAACAAAATAAAATAAAACACCAACAATCACTTTTTAGTTCAAGCTAGCACCACAATAATTACATTTATTGTTTTTATCATTCTCCCACCACCATTACTAATCACTTCTACCAATTTACAATAACTGTTAGCTACTTATATTATCATTGTCTCCAATCTCTTACAATATTACTACCACATCACATCTACTATTATATAGACCCGCTATATTAAATACCACCATATAAAATAACCAATAAGGATTACAAACCGAAATACAGTACATCTTAAGAGTATATTTCTTCACACACACACACACACATATATATATATATATATATATATATATATATATATATATATATATATATATATATATATTCAGCGGTCTTAGATGAAGTAAGAAAATGATTCTTTATTTAATGGATATTCGCAAAGGCTACACAAAGTTAATATAAATTGAAATGATATGTTTCAAATATGAAGTCCTGATTTTTTATGGGTTTTCCATTGAAAGAAGATGATTTTCAGAAAGTTAATGCAAAAAAGAAATATCTGGAAAAATGTCTCACCAAGAAACAAGTTAGTCTTCACTAAATGCTCGCAACTTGTAGCCTTGTGCCAGAACTTAATTAAGCAAATGCATATTTGTTTCTCATCTCACCGATGCAATAATTGGTAGGCTAATCTTAGAAATATTGCAATTGTAGTTAATTTGAGGTTATGTAAATAGTGTAATTGTTAGCGGGTCGAAAATTATCATACAGAGATCGAATTCCAGTCAGGTTCATTATACATAATTTCGTACAAATACCGCTGAGAAAGGTATGTGCCCAACTATTCGCAACTAATTATGTGTTAAATAGCATGGCAGACCAGCAATATTTGTCAACCAGCCGAGGAGGACAACTCTGAATTCGAAACCGTATGTATCGCCATGAAAAAGATTATGATGTTCACATTTAACTCTACTGCCGGTTTATCTCGACTCAGGTTGTTGGGGAGGGGGTAGAGGCACTTAATTTGAGCATGACTGAGTTCCCAACATCAGTGGGTTATGCAAGACGAAGCTAATTTAATACAAACATCATCGAATGCACCTTGCCGTAGATCAGAGGTTAGCAATCTAGTCTCGCAAATAGTTTTTCGTCTTCTTCTATATGCCGTGTCCCTTCAGGACGTAGGTGACCATGGCTCTCCACAACTTCCTATTCTTTGTAACTCTTATTAAGAATTGTCTTTTCGTTATCCCTATTTAGTCATCCATTTAAAAAAGCTTGTTGGGTAGGTTACTCGCTGCTTTCCACTGTCTCTCCTGCCTTTAATGTCTTGTGAGTGTCAAATTCTCCAAGCCTTCTTTCCTAGAAATGTCATCTGTCTCTTTCTGATTCTAAGTATAAGTGTTCTTTTTGTTTCTGTTTTCTCTGAAACTTCCTCGTTACTCACGTTTTCATTTCATAGTATTCTCATCATCCTTCTGTAGAACCAAATTTCTGTTGCTACAAGCCTTTTCTTCATCTGTGAGGATGTACCGGTGGAGTGATAGATAGCGGTTCGAAATAAGAAATTGGAGTGCCGAGTTCGAATTCCACTCGGGTTTTGTTACATTCACGTACACTAAAATACACTTCAGAAATGTTGGGATCCATCTCCCCCCTAAATATGGGTTAAATAGTAGGTCTTGTATCTGGAAAAATTATTGTTATTCTCGACAAAATTGTTTATGGAATATTCACTTGCCAAAAAAAAAAAATCTTGGTTTTAAATAACCCACAAAGGGTTGATAAGCCGTAAAAAACAAATCAGTTTATATGGGAATAGATTGTCCAACATTCTCTGTCGCATCGGAGAACCGATATTACATAACAGTTTAGCACTCTTTATTTTGTAAAATGCCTATAAATGCCTCGCAAATATTCGTACTTGAGTTAAGCAAAACAATATCTATTTTCATGCATTTTCTTAGTCATACGACGAGCATCCAAAAAGTTCGTAATAAAAGCATATTACATGAGTCGGCAACCCACGGTCCTCGGGCCACATCCGGCCAGCAAAGAACTTTTGTCCGGCTCGCCACCTGGACACTAATTCTCTAATTAATTTATGTAGCAAGTTGCAGAAAAAATATCATTTTGAGTTAACTGACTTACAACGCAACGAATTTTTTTAAACCAAAATTTCATTCCGAATTCACTGCTGACTTCTACAAGAAATATGTTTTGCCAAACGGGAAATATAAAAGCCTATTGAATAATCCGAAAATTGTGGTATCATTATTTGGAATTATATATAATTGTAAACAACTTTTTCCGAAAATGAAATATATTAAAAGTCGTTTAAGAACAAGGTTGGTTGTTGTCTTGGTGAATTTGCATTTTCACTTAATTGTGTTCGATGCTATCCTGTTTATTCCTACAATCAAATAAGGAAACTTGTTTAAATAATATAACATTAACTTCGTTGTTTGTTCTTTAAACCTCCAGAACCAAGACAGCCTTCTGAACAATTTATTATACTATATTTGATATCAGGGCTCTTTTCCGAGATATTGCATAGCTTTCTGGCCCGCTGTCTCTAAAGGGTTGCCGACTTCTGGCATATTACGAGAAAATTATAAAAATAGTTTGATATTACTTTACAGAGAAAAAAAATTTGGACTTATGAGTTATAACGGACATAAACCGGAAGCATTTCGCGATTTTGAGAATTACATTTTCGAACAGAATGAATCCTGTCGAAATTTACGGTAAGATTTGATTGGAAAACTGAGGACATTAGTAATTCTTAGATAAAAGGTTACGGATATAATTTCTCACCCCAAAGAAAAATCAGCAATTTACCTATGGATAACTCGTTTCAAATGATTGATTTGACGAAGATGAACGGATCGACAGACAATCAGTGTCAGGCTGCCAGGAAAAAAGATCGATGCTGTTCGATATTTAACTGAGAGAGACTGACGATTATTAGGAGAAATAAAAGTCAACGCCCTAGACATCTCATCCCGGCACATACAATTTTATCTGAAAGATTAAAGTTGAGCAAACTTTTTGATTAAGTTTCAAAACTGTTTTGACCACATCAGTAAGAGACAAAATCCGAAGTTTAATTAGAAATCTTAAACAACTAGGATCAAA